CGGTAGTCAGGCTATTTGAGAGTAATCTCTCCGGTATCGGGCACATTGAGAGTAATCTTTCCGGTAGTCGGGTCATTTTGAGAGTAATCTCTCCGGTAGTCGGGCCACATTGAGAGTAATCTCTCCGGTAGTCGGGCCACATTGAGAGTAATATCTCCGGTAGTCGGGCCATTTTGAGAGTAATCTCTCCGGTAGTCGGGCCACATTGAGAGTAATCTCTTCGGTAGTCGGGCCATGAAAGTAATCTCTCCGATACTTGGGCAGGGATGAGTACCCATCCCCTCACACCCTAAGACCGTCTTTTTCATGCGTGGATCATCTTGTTGAACAAAAACACATCTTTCTCGCTTGACCTACAAAAAATAAAGGACAAAAAAAAAGAGCAAGCAAAGAAAACGCAGAAGAAGAGAAAAGAAATTACCTCAAGTACTAGCACTTTCCTGTCGTTAAAGAAACTAATTCAAGAGCAGCTTGAAGATGCCGATAGCTGATTGATGCACAAAACACATGAGAATGTGGCTATTTATAGATTTCTCAAGGCAACAAATTAAGTGGCTTTGTCGATGTGGGAGCAGTAAGTCTTGCAATCCAAAAGGAATTGGGTATCCTAGCTTAATTAGAATCACATGCGGTGCTTCTTGACGCATGGGAATAGGTGTAATTATAGAAGTTCTATGTTAAGTAGAAAAAGGAAATCCCATAGGGATTGGATTTCTACCGAAGCTTTAAAGCTTTGCATTTTACAGCATCCAGGATGCTTGGGGTTACATCAGCAAAGTTACTGTGGAAGTCCAAGTCAAATGAGTATTTGACAATTACAACATATCCACGTACTCAAGTGTAGTCATATAGACTTAAGAAGTTACATGGAAAGAAAAAAAAAAGGATATGTTGTCTTCATTAAATACTTCAAGTCTAGTCGTTAAAATCTATACCTCGACAAACCTTGAAGTAGGGGGCATTTGTAGGCATATAAATTTTATTAAAATTAAATTCATAAAATAATTTGGGTTATATTTTAAATTCAAGATATATTAGTCCAACTAAATACTATGGGCTAATATAATTGAAATTAATTATATAAGTCCAATACATATGGATTAAATAAATAAGTCTTAATCCATTGGGCCAGCCCATTTAATTGGGCTAAAGTGATGAGCCCACTTCATTAAGCCCAAGATGACATCTTCCTAGAGGCCCAGTTTGGTGCCACGTGTCAAATGACGTGGCGCACCAAGTCAAACAGAAGATCCAATGGGATCGTGCTGCATGTCAAAATGACAAGGCATGCCAAGTCAAATTAAAGAGCCAATGAAATCGCGCCACGTGTGCAAGTGACATGTTCTGGCCAATCAAATGCGGCCATGTCACACTTTAATTTGATTGGTCGGAAAGAGCTTGTTCTTATCATGACTCCTCCCTTCCACAACTATAAATAGGGGTCTTCATAACTCAGAAAAGACACCAGAAGTTATAACAAGAAGCAAGAAAGAGCTCGTGAATCAAACGCCGCAAATTTCTCTACAAGTATCAAGCTTCAAGCAATCAAGTTCAAGTTCAAGTTCAAGCTCAAGAACGAAGAACGAATCAAAATCAAGTTCAAGCAATCAAGCTCAAGCTCAAGCTCAAGAACAAGATCATCGTTCGTGGAAACAAATATAGGTTCAAGATCAAGCTCCAAGGCCCTTGAATTTATTTACCATTGGAAAGAAGAATCAGAGGATTCATAGAGATTGTAACACTCAAATATTCGAAATAAAATACTACGATTGTTGCAATATTTTCGGTCTTGATTTTATTTTCTCGAACCAAAATTTATTGTCTACAAAGAGTAAAAGGTTAAAGTGAATACCTGAAGTTTGTGCAATTCATCTGACATTGATTTATGGGTATTCAAGAGTAGTTCACTTTCTTTCTCCAGATGCCTGTACCAAAAACATTATTCAGAGACCAAAATAAACACCCACATACAAAACCAAGAAAAGAAAACATCTTTCACACAAGCAGAACATTATGAAGAAAGAGGAAAGTAACTCGAAAATATAAATTACTTAAAGGTTTCTCCTGTATATTTGGGATCCATGAAAAAAATTGATCTTTAGCCACAAACCCTTAGTGGGTCGTAGGAATTCGCTCAATATCAGGAGAATCAAAGCTTCAGACTAATTCAGCAATCCCACGAATTCTAACAGTGAAAAGAATGATATTTTCGAAAAGAAGAAACGGATTACTCCCTCCGCTCCAATTTGTTTTTTTTGTTATTTTACTCCAAAATAAGTATAGATTATATAATCAACAAACAATTCAATTTGTTTTTCTAAATTACCATTATGTATTTATCCCTAAAAAGTTTTACTCCTCACATTTGAGAAGAGAAATAAGTGCTACTATAATTATGGTACACATTTAACGAAGGGTAGTTTAGTTACACTAACTATTTTCGTCTAGAATTTAGTATTTCCTTAATAGGTGTGTCCAAAGTAAATTAATCACTTATTATTGACCGAAGGAAGTATAATATAGTTGGATTGCACCGCCAGCGGATTATACCCAAACAAAGATGGGATTTTTACCAAACTACTAATCTTAGTATACATGCGTCGCACGTGTGCCTAGTGCCGACCAGTAAAATATGTGTACATAAAGAACATGTAAATTGGGTTTTAAATTATGTGTCTAAAGTCTTTTTTTTTTTTGTTGAGCAAACAGGAAATATGTCATTTTAAAAACTACTTAATATTTCGTACATTACCTTCATAATTTGTGTCACTAAGGACACTTTGATTCCCAAAGCTTGTTAGGATATTGCAAGCATCAAAAGATAAAGACTTAACAAAAACATAGAGTTCTTTTTGTTCACTTTTCACAATAGAGTTTACATAAGGTGGTGGTAGCACAAAATGTTGTTTTTCCTTTGCCTTCACCTTCTTTGCTAGATGATGAGCTATCCTATTCTCTTGCCTGAATATGTGCCAGAGGATTACCTTCCGCTGGTGCATGAACAACCTGCATTCATTAATAATGTTGTCATATAATTTATTATTTTGTTGTATAGAATGGATTACCTCCGTGGAGTCTGTCTCTATTTCAAAGGGAACATTCCCCATTCTTGTGATGTTTTGAGTCCCTCTATGAGTGCCTTCATTTCTGCTTGTAGTGAGCCATAAGCACGGGTAGATTTTGCAAATCCAACCACCCAATTCCCATAAGTATTTCTAAATATACCTCCCAGGCCACATTTTTGTTATGGTTATTGAAGCTAGCATCTATGTTAAGCTTAAACCACCCTTTTGGTGGTTTGTTCCATTTGACCTTTATGGGTATTTTAATAGAAGTGCTGAGACTCTTTTCAGTGAGGAGCTTAAATTCAGTAGCTTTTTGGATAATAAGAGTATCATTGATAGGATAGTCAGTATTGTTTTGGTTCTTGTTATTTCTATTAAGTCAGATGTGCCAAATGGCAAAGGTGAAGAAGGAATTCCAGTTATTGAAATTATTTTGGAGAGGTTAATCAAAGTCTATTAATTGAAGGAGCCAGTGCTTGTTATTATCTTTGTAAAAAGATTTCCACCCAAGGCTTTCCCAGAAATGTTTAACAGCTTTACATTTTAGGAAGATATGCATTATAGATTCCTCTTCTTGGCATTTGCATATAGGGCAGAAGGGATCAATGTTTAGACCAATCTGTGAGAGATATTTTCAGCATGGTATTTTGTTATGGAGACACTGCTACAAGAAGAATTTGATTTTATTAGGGCAATTCAGTTTCCAAATCCATGTGAACTCTAGTTGATTGTCTATAGGAGGTTCTATAAGAGTGTAACAGGACTTTATTGTGAAAAAACCTTTTGTATTTAATGACCATATTGTAACATCATTGGTAGGGCCTTTGAGACGTATTCTTGTCTTAGTGATATTTTCTTTTATATCACTAAGGATGTTGATCGATAAATTATTCAAGCTCCATGTTTCCCCATTAAAAATGTCCTTAATTTTTATTGAGTGGTCACTAATAGAGAGAGGACCTGTTACTTCCTTCCTAAGATTTCCTATATTAGGTATTCAGTTGGTTTCTCATATATTCATGTTGGAATGGTAATGGGGTGACCAAGTAATACCTTTAGAGCATCAATCCCAACCCCTTTGAATACTTTTCCAGACAAAAGAGCTTTTATTTTTGGCACCATTAATTCCATAAGAGGTGATGATTAATCTAGCCCAGGGGGTTGTAGCATTTGTAAGAATTCTCCATACTAGGCTAGCTAGTGTGCATAAATTCTTAGTAACAGCATTATGAATACCTAGGCCTCCATTTCTTTTTTGTTGGCATAATGTAGACCATTTAACTAGATGAATTTTCTATTTTTCCATGGTGCTACCCCATATAAAACCCCTTTGAATTTTATCAATCTTGTTGAGGATATTCTTAGAAAGCAAGGTGAATAGTGATTGGGTATTGAATTAAGGCACGGGTGGGATAGGGTAGTCATTCCTACTAAGTTAATGAATTTTAGTTTCCAGGATGCTAGCTTGGTTCTCATATTATCAACAATAAACTGGAAGCCTCTAGGTTTTGGACAATTATTTAATATTCGGAATCCTAGGTAGGTACCAAAGTTGTCACATTTCTTTATACCTAATCTATTTGTAATATCTTTAATGAGAGAAGGGGTACAGTTCTTAGAAAAGAGGATCTTAGACTTAGTACTGTTAATACATTGACCTGATAGGTCACAAAATAGGTCTAGTCCATTTTTAATGGCATGGCATGATTTATCATTTACCTTTGCCATTAAGGTAAGGTCGTCAGCAAAAAATAGGTGAGAGAACTTTGGGCATCTTTTTCCTATGGTTATTAGATCCCAGTTCCTAGTATCCACTTGATGGTCTATATATCTTGTTAGCATTCCTAAGCAAAGGATGAAGATACAGGGTGAAATGGGATCTCCTTGTCTGATGCCTCGACTTGGCTCAAAGAAATTTGTGACAGAGCCATTAACTAGGACAACAATACTACTTGTTGAGATACAATTTATTAAAAGCTTAGAGAATTTGGGAGGGAAATTGAAATATTTAGAGTATGATGAACAAACGACCATTCCAAACAGTCAAATGCTTTTTCTAGATCAATTTTTAGAATCATTTGGCCTTGCTTGCCTTTTATCTCTTTTAAATTGGAAACAAGTTCTTGGTTGATGATTGCATTATCAACGACTCTTCTATTTTTCATGAAACTTGCTTGGAAGGGGCTGATCAATTGTTTTAGGAATGGTTTTAGTCGATTTGCTAGGATTTTTGTAATTAACTTGTAGATAGTATTGTAGAGCCCAATTGGTCTGAAATTTCTAATGTTATTAGCATTAGAGATTTTAGGGCCAAGGCACAGATAGGTTCTATTAATGTCTTTAGGGATATCTTGACTACTAAAATATCATGACAAAGCTTTGTTACTGAATGACCTATGGTTTTCTAATATTTCTGAAAAAAGAACGGGTGAAGGCCATCCGGCCCTGGGGCTTTGAAAGGTTTAAAAGAATATATAGCCCTTTTAATTTCGATATCTAGAAGGGGGTGTCTAAAAAATTTAGATTTAAAGTAGTATGTGTAGAGGGGTTTCCCAGTGGACTAATCCGATTAGTCAGGGATTGAGAAGTTGTGAATGTATCTGTGAAGTACTTGAGAACATGTGACATAATTAGGTGGTGTTCATTGATCCAATTTCCAGCATCTTTAAAGAAATTGATTTCATTTCTTCTTTTTCTATTGGTGGCCGAAATATGAAAAAAATTTGTGTTAGCATCTCTTTCGTTTGACCATAATACCCTAGATCTTAATTTTCAATAGTCCTCTTCGGCTCTCAAGATATCATTGTATTCCTTTTTCAAGTCATATTCCAGTGTTTGAAGGAAAATACTAGTAGCATAGCTACTGGAATTCTGGATTCCTTGTACCTAGCAAGTAATTTCCTCTTTTTTCCCATGATGTTACCAAAGGTATTATTTTTCCAATGTTTTACTTTTTCTACAAACTTTAGGCTAGCTTTACAATAATCAGAACCAAACCAATTTTTTTCAATTATTGTTTGGAATTCTGGATGTTTGCACCAGAAGGTTTCGAGCCTAAAAGGTATATTATGATTTAACCTAATTTTTGAAATTAATTCAATTAATAAAGGATTATGGTCCGAGTAGGTTTTGGGTAAGTAAATTATAGAGCTTTTAGGGAATAGTTCAATCCATTCCTCATTCCCTAATATTTTGTCTAATCGTTCCATAATAAGACCCTTATTCCTATGTCTATTATTGGACCAGGTATACTTACACCCTTTAAAGCCTAAATCTATTAAGTTGCAACTGTTAATTTTACACCACATAAACCTAGCTCTACTGTCCTTAATAGGTTTTCCTCCAATTTTTTCATCTGAAGTTAAGATATCATTGAAGTCTCCTCCTACCACCCAATGCCCTTTATAGGTTTTGCTAATATTTTCTAGGTTTTCCCATAATAAGTTTCTGTTATGAACATTAGTACTAGCATAAATAGAAGAAAAAAGTTAGGTTTTACGAATAGGTAGTACCTCTATTGATGCATGAATTTCTTGATTTCTACGGACTGCATGGTTCCACATCAAAACCATGCCGCCTGACTGACCTTCCGCTGGTACCTCTTCATCTCCGTAAACCCAAAGTCATTAAGCATATCAACATGATTACCCATTCTTGTTTCTAATAAGGCTACCATGCAAGGCCTATGAGTATCTATCATTTTCCTAAAATTTCTCCGAAAATTATCATTGTTTCCTCCCCTTATGTTCCATATAATAAAGTTTGTTGGACGATTCATAGAGATATTAATGTTTGAGTTTGCTGGCTCCCCGTTCTCCCTTATTCCCCCTGGAAATATAGGATTCCCTCTCAGTGATGGCACTACGATCATGGCTCTGTTGCCCACTGTTGGATCCTGAGGTGGTTTGATGTCCATCGAGCACTTGAAGAGTGCCAGTGGGCAACTGAGCACATGCCTCTTCTCGTGCATCTCCGTGAAGAGAAATACCTTTATCCCGTCTAGACTTGAGAACTCTAGGACTCGCTCTAAGCCTAGGTTGATAGGTTCGTCTTTCTCTTCCATTGCTGCTTCTACTGGCCCTGGCACTTGATTTGCTTGGTGTTGTGGTGGTAGTACTTGTTGATGCATATGGGGGTTTGGTTGTTCCTGGGGTTCTGGATTGATCTCCCATGACAGGAATATGGGGTTGAGTTGAGTGTACATTTCTGTCGGGAAAAAAGGCATGTCTAGTGG